ACATGTAGATGTAAAATGTAAACATTTCAAACCAAATATATCACTCAAATATGTCACACCAAAAATCATAACATTCCGGACATGTCCAAAAGAGATGCCTTCTGCAGATTTACACCAGTCACAAATAGGAGAAATAGTAGCTAATAGGAAGCTAAAATGTTACTAAATGGTGAAAAACCTAAAAGACACAATGACCAGTTACATCATCTAAAATACAGTTTCCTTGAACCTGAAACTTGCATGTAAAAGTCCATATTATTTGTCAAATACTCAACAGCAGATGGCAGCAAAGCTCTATTCAAACTTGTGAACTTGATACATTATTTAAAAGTACCAACATGCATTAAACCACAACTGTTAGAGACATGCTAAAAATAATAATACATTTAAATTACTCCCAACTATTGCATGGTCCATGGAGGTGTAATATGGACACTACATATGTCATTTCCAAAGACAGTATTTTAATTTTCCCATGTTTTACAGCACAAACTCAAAAAGGTAAAGCATATATTCTTTTGCAAAGAAATCTGGAGCACAAAACCCCATTCGGTTATGAGTATAAAGATTCCGGAACAATTTCGCCAAGTAATTGATTCTATTCAGATCAATTCTCATTGGATGACCATTATAGCTCAAGACAAAGACCCGTTCAGGCAAAGTCCTGTCATACTAAAACAGTGGCCATGACTGAGAAGATGGATCCATTTCTACCTTTCCCACTCTTCGTTTTATGTAATTCACTGAATGATCTTATCAATTCCATCCTCCAGAGCTGGGACAGGTCTGCTCTCTCCGGGTCAGATGTCACCGTTAGAGTTCAAAGGTCAAATTTAGTATTTCAATTCAAAACACATACAAAACTCTGATGGAAATAGGTAGATTTATTATAATGTTATTATACTGCTGGCTCTTAAATGAATGAAACATATATCTAATTATAATTAAAAAATTACAATTACAATTCTATTGAAGTGAGGCATCCACACATACTGACTAAATATAGGCGAATCAATTTTACATCACTTATAGTTCTGCCAATTAATTTTAATCTATATCACCAATTAATTTTATAACTTTTAATTTATTATAATTCATTTACTAGGTTCAGTGCCTTGCCAAAGCATAATGCTTCCTTCCTTAGGCTGGTAAAATGTGTGTGTGTGTTTAAGAGCCATGATGTAATGTGAAGACTCAAGTCTTTCCCACACTTGGAGAGGGATCCCTGACAGCCTGGGAAACTAAAAGCTTCCATCTGTTCAACAGGTCAACAGAGGGTCCTGTGACCTTTGACACTGATTTGTCCCCCAGTAAACATGAAGGACCAAGCTGTTGACAGAGCGGTAAACGATACAGACCAGTTCTGTGTAATCTCATCTGAGTCAGACTTATCCCATATTCTGTTGACAGGTCGTACATCTAATTGGTCAACGAAGGGGGAATAAGAACATATAGCAATGAAACACCTTCCTTAAACCCGGATAAAGGGCCTGTATTTGCAGGGTCTATTCCCCAGTGGAGTGACAGGTGAGGTAAAACACTTGAATTGAAATGAAGAAGAGACCAATTCATTCTTACCTTTACAGTCCGAAACATCCATTCTGGAAAACTTGACTGTACAGTCGGCAATATATAATATGTGGATGCACAATGCTAGAGACATCATGTAAACACGTCGCTTGCTGCGTTCCTCCAATCAGTAACACTGACACTGCAAATATGCAAATAAGGACTTTAACCCAGGTTTAGGAATGTGCAGTGTGAAATGGCTTCTTATGAATACCCAGGATTAACTTTTAACCCTGGGTAAAGTATAAGCAGTGTGAAACGTGAAATGAGATAACCCAGGATTCCATTTACCCGGGGTTTAGAATGACCTAGGGTTAACTATTTCAAGTGTGAAAAGCCCTATAGTTTCACACTGCATACGTTTGCCCCTGCAATGCACGGTTTCATAACCCTAGGTAAAAAGCGGTGCTAATCATGCTTCCAAATTACAAATGTGAAACATACCTTTACCCAGGGTTAAAAGTGGGGTTTAGAACGACGCACAGAGTGAAAAGTGCTTTCATTTTGGAGAAAGAAGAAACTGCTTTGTTCTTTCATTTATAGTATGAAAAGTCCAATCTGGAAAAACTTGATAGTACAGTCTGGAATATATAATACCCTATGAGAATGTGCCTTTATATAAACAGGTCTCCTGCTGCATTCGTCCAATCAATGAGAACGTTAACTCAGGGTTTAGGATTTATTCAACTTTAATGTTCAAATGTTAGTGAGATGAAGAAAAATAAAAAGCTTTTATATATCAAACTGCATATGTAATGGACAACAATTACACTCACTTTGGTATCTCTTTTGGAGGCATCTTATGTTAAACAGCTCCATATTTAATGAAGCACATACAAAAGACCTGAACCGGAAGTGATGCAACCTGTTTTACGCAATATAGAAATGTGTTGCTCATAACCCTATTAGAACAGAACTATTTCAAGTGTGAAAAGCTCTTGACTGTGTTTAATGGTGGTATGTTAAGGTCTTAATCCTATATGGAAACTCTTTAAATGGTAGTCAATGACCCTCATATGTAGACGATCAATACTCTGGTATACTGAATGAGTTACATCTGGGATTGTGACATACAGATCAAGGGCCGTAATGGAGGCCCTGAATTGCTTTGTATCATCCAGGTGTGCTTTCACACCTGCAGATGTGCTGCAGTACATTCAGTCTCTCAGAGATCCAGCTGCATGCATTTGGCCTCCAAATAGCTCAGTCCTTCCAGAGGTCACGAAGGTCACACATCTGCATGTGAAATGCGATGGCCTTTGACACCACCCGCTGCCCCTGAGCCTCTGTGGCCCTTTTGTTACATAAAGTGCCAGTGCTGGTGTCAACTGCTGCGATTTAGGTACCTGATATTTGCCTGGACTCACTGAACACAAGTTATTTTATGATCCTAGTGCAAAAATCTATTATAATATTTATTTATGATATAATATTTATATATTATTTATATTAATATACAGGTGCATCTCAATAAATTAGAATGTCGTGGAAAAGTTCATTTATTTCAGTAATTCAACTCAAATTGTGAAACTCGTGTATTAAATAAATTCAATGCACACAGACTGAAGTAGTTTAAGTCTTTGGTTCTTTTAATTGTGGTGATTTTGGCTCACATTTCACAAAAACCCACCAATTCACTATCTCAACAAATTAGAATACTTCATAAGA